TATAATATTACACTAAAAATGAATACACAGTATTTATTTAATCAAGTTCTGAAGAGATTACTTTTTTTTTGCATGTTATACGTATACGTACATGGTATTTATTTATGCCTATTTCTGTGTAAGAATTGCAGGAACCTAAAGAGTTTCGGCGCCTCTGTATTCAGAGCATCTGAAACAACTTGTTGAATGAATTGATCGGAGCTGCGGTATAAACTACGATCAAATTTAGTTCTGAGAGGTGTTTCAATGACTTTTTCTGATATCCAATTCTCATCATTTAGTCGATTCCTTACAATCTCCATAATTGCCTTTGCATCGAATGCTGGTCCAGAGAAAATATCACCCGGCTTGTAAAAATTCCCAAGCAACAGACAAAATTGATAGCGAACGGGTAGTTTATCTTTCTTAATACTAGTTACTCCAAATCTATCCACTCTATTCCAATCAACGACAACTTTGATGGGTTTTCGGCTCCCAATTAAGAGCTGACACAAATGTTTTTCGTAATTCTCTTGTAGAATATCCACGTTACGGTTCTCCATAGATTTTTCGCTAGCTGTAATTTCGTCATCTCCAATTGATAATACTTTTGGAGTATATGTTATTTTGGCTATGGCTGTGTATCATAAAAATAAGATATATTTTGTATTATAAAGGAAGGCTCGTAGTACCTGACTTTTCTTCAATTTCTGTTTTATTGATTTCCATGTTTACCTTTCGCCTAGGTTTAAACAAATGCATCTCACTTGGAAATCGTATTGCTATTTATTCATACATGGACATATGTAAGCTACTCCCTGAAAGCTTTTTGTATTATTATTATTTTTTTCAAGTTGGTTGTTTACATTTACGTATTCATAAATGAGAGATATAATCATACATATGTACATATGCATATGTATATTATCACATTACATTTATATCTCTATAAGTTTGGTCTTTAGTTTATATTTATAAATAATTACAGCTATTATCTAATTTATTTACGATACTTCCTATTTTGTACATGTTCTCTGTGACAGTACATCAGGTACGGGAAAGCCTTCTCTCGCTCAATATCGAAGGCCTTAGAAATAAGAGTTTCAATATGATTTTGCTCAGGGTAATAAGCATT